TGGCTCTGCCGTGAGCGGTGAGCCGCGGGGTTTGGCCGGGGATGTGAGATCCCTGCTGTTCGGGGCGTGCTGAACCTCAGCTTCTCCCTGCTTTCCCCCTCTCCCCGCACAGAGAACAACAACCCCCACCCTGTGGGGAACGGGCAACGCGGACCTCTCCGGTTTTGGAGAAAAGCAAGAGCATCGCTCGGCGTGTAGGCGTTGCTGAGGGAGGTTAATATTGTTGGTACCTTATAGCATGGGTATAACCTACCTTCCTTTAGGAGGTATTTCCTCCTAAATTTTTGCATATGCAAACAGCTATCTGAAAGAGGAGCTGAGGCCTCCCTGGTAGCCTCAGGTCTCTGTGATGGTGGCTCGGAGACACCTGCTTTCTGGCAGTAATGCTGTATGTGCAGCCAGCAGAGAGGCTGAGGGGGTCCCGAGGAGCCTCCTTGTTTGGTGAAGAGAACACCCTCGCTTTCCTCCTGAGGCAGGCCCCAAATGTACATCTCACAGAGCAGCCCAAGTGACTGAAAAGGGATTGGGCCAGAGTCAAAAGGCCAAAATCAGGGCTCCCTCCTCAGCAAACCCCCCTGGAACAGACTGAGCTTAATCAGCTTCTGTGACTACCTTTAGCAAAGAGTCTGGCAAAACCCCTCTCTGGAGTCAGGGGAAGGGAAGCAACCCTTGGTGTCTGTGAACTGGGGAAGTGAATAAACAAAAAAAGGAAGGGAGAAAGCGCTCCACATCAGGCATGGATGGGGATGGCGGGCGCAGTCACCCCGGTGGACGAGGAGCCCCTCCAGGAGTCCAGAAAGGCTGGAGCCTTTGCTCCCCAGTACTGCAGGCTTCGGGCAATCAAAAAAAATGTTTCAGCACTTAAATATGGTGAGAGTTAGTTTAAAAAAAACCCACAGGACTTCAAATGTAACAGGTTTTGGTTTTCTTTAGTTACTTTCTGTTGATCCATTTTCTGGTCAACCATTCAGTTGGGCTTTTTGAACTGTTCATTTGGGCGTGTAAACATGCTTAATTTGGTAGGTCCGCCGGGTTGCAACACAAGCTAAGAGTGGCCAGCCTGCCAGGGAAGCACGCTCACGGAGTTGGGCCATCAGGGGAAAAGGGCAGGGCGAGGGGCCGTGCCTGTAACGCAAAGACGCCAAAGCAATAGCGCTCGTGCAGCTCTCCCAGCTGAGGGATGCCGGTTTCCCAGGGTCCGTCGCAGCCTGAGGGGCAGCCCGGAGGGCTGAGAGGCTACAGCTGCAGCTGGCAGTGGGTGTGCATGTTCCTGTGCACGTGTGTGCGCATGTGTGCTGGGGACCAGTGTACTTATCCATACTGATCACTTTATCCACTGCTAGAATGATGTTAAGACTGAGGGTTAGTGGTGATACACAACTATGTGAGGCGAGAAAGAATAAGGAATGGATCTAATTAAACCTGCAATTTAGACTCCCTTGCATCGCATGAGGCTAACATTGTCTCCTCAGCTGCAGGAGTTGGGAGATTAAGTCACATCACAAAATGTCTCAATATTTTTAAAAATAATTCATTCTGGCCTGGGAGGAACAGGAGGGTGGCAGGGGCACGAAGCCCACATCGAGCAGCCGGTGTCCTCTTTACTGGGGAATTACAGCTTCAGGTGGCTCTGTCTGGCTTCTGTCCCATTCTTCTGACACTAAGAAAGGACAGAGCTAAACAGTGCCTGACACCCTTTGCCTCCCTCCCCAACAGTTACTGCAACTGATTTGCCTTTTAAATGCTGATTTTTGCAGAACCCTCAGCACAAGCCAGTCTGAGGAGGCGAGAAGTGTCACCCCCACTGGCACTAAGCTGGCCTGCCACAGCAGCTAAAAATAATTTCTCCTCCTGTGCCCTGCCAGCAAGGTGCAGGGCTCCCAGCTGAGGCAGGCTGTGCTGCCAGGGCAGAGCCGCAGGTGAATCTTGCACTCATAGCGGGGTCAGTGGCTCTGCTACGCTTGCTGGTACAAGCTGTGTGTAGCCTCTGCTTTGCAGCCCATTAATTTTTGGGACATGAGCACATTAAGGCTTGATGTGCTCTTGGATTGCAGCAGTAAGTGCTAGAAGAGCGGCGTGTTCGATGGGTGCCTGTCGTGGCCCTCTGAGCCATTCCTGCAGGCTCCAGCACTGCCAGCAGCCCCTTTCCACCCTCACTGGCTTTTGCAACACTGCAATCAATTGATATCGAACCGGCTCATCTGCAAAAATCCCATCCGAATTGGGAAGACTTGTGAAACCTGAACCTCCGCCAAGCCGCAGCTCCCCTTTCTTCCCCGGGGGCGGGGAGGTCAGTCAGGAAATTCAATCTCCATCACAGTCCAAAAGCTTCAGTGAACGAGAGCGGTGAGGGGCAACTGAGAGCACATCTCTGATGCATATGTTCCAGCAGGACTGTAGTCATCCATGGACTGCTGGGAGGCTCGCTGCGCGTGCTGACAGCCACACGCAATTTCCACAGTTGCCAGAAGGTTTGTTAATAAGAATGTGTTTAGAGACCTTTCTCAGAACCAATTTTCCTAACAAAAGTAATTTCAGCTTTATTAAAACTCCCCTAATTTCTTGTTACTCTTTTTTTTTCTTTTCTGTGTGTTTTTTTTTTTTTTTAATAACAATTACCAGTACAAAATATTCTGCAGCCTGTGGTAGGGAAGCAACCGCTGTCCATGCTCTGACCCTCTGCAGGTGTTCCCAGTGCAGGTGGCTGAGGCAGCCTGGGGCAATAGTAGAGCTGAGGAGTGCAGCTCTCCTTCAAATCAGCATTTTTTCAGATTGGGTTTGTGGGTGGCAGTGATGCAGGGCAGCAGTTCTGGTTCAGAATTCACCTTTACCCCTGCACAGGGTCCTCCTTCCTTGCTGTGTGGGCACTTTTATAGTCAGCTTGTGAAAGAAGATGTAATAATTAACAGGAAGAAACTTAAGCATCGCGCTGAGAGGAAGAAGACGGGTTGTAACAACCCCTGGCTGCGATGCAGAAGGAATAAAATGATGAGCAACAGTGCCTGGTCCTCTTGCCCTTCCTACATAATAGGGACGTCAAATTTTAAGTAGTAAAACCTCAGGGGTAAGTGAGAAGCTGTGTGAAGAGTTATGAGCAAGGATCTCATAAATAAACCTGACCTATCATAATCCCACACAGTCTGTCTTGCCTAAACTTACATCAAAGATGCCAAAAGCCACAGGAAGATGGGAAATCAGCCCGTCCTTATAACTGCAGGCACTGGCTTCCAGAAAAGGTTCTCAGAAAGCTATTAGTGAGGTTGAGTCAAGGAAAAGCGAGTCCTGTAGGAGAAAGCAAGACTGTAAGGGAGCAAGACTAAAGGTCCATATCACTCAGCACCTTCTCCAAGAGTGAATATTGGTAGATACTCCAGGAAAACATAAAAGCCACAGGCAGAGGAGATTCTCCCCCTACATCCCCGCTCAGCCCTTGGCAGTAACCCCCAGACGAGTGCCTGAGCCAGCAGGTGCACCCCAACTCGCCTGTTTCAAAGCCACTGAAGGATTTATCACCTCTGAGGTTGTCTAGTTTCTTTCAGGCCCATTTAGATCCTGGCTTCAGGGCCTTTGCAGAGCGTACCGAGTTGCATGGTTCAGTTGTGCTTCATGCCTCTGCCGCTGTGAAACCTGTTAGCTGGCCGTGGCCAGGCGCACAGGCTGGCACCTCGCTGGGACGGGCAGCCAGGTGATTATCAACCAGGAGCTGCGTGCCACTCACCAGGGCAGGTGCCAAGCTCCGACACTTGGACAGGACAAGGGAAAATAGAGACGCTGCACCTCCTGGAGTAGCAATCAGCAGTTGAAGATGCTAAGGAGTGGAGTAGAGCTGCTCCAGGACATAAAGCAGGTTATAAAGCAAGGCAGCCAGAGGCAAATATACAGGCTCTTGGGGCAGCGAAGCTGGCTGCCTCCTGGGGACCACCGTGTGCTGCCGGGAGAGCATGGCAGCCTCAGATACCCACGAATCTGTCCAAGGCAGTGGGTCACGCTGGCAGGTACAGGGGCCAAGGATGGGTTGGAGACCTCAGGTCACTAGGGGCACAAAATCCCCCAGGGTATAGGTAGCTTCTCTTCCCACATTTTTCCCGCCAAGGCATCGTGGCCCAAACAATTTTTGGATGTGGGAGTGTAAACAGCCAGGCTGTACCCTGTGAAGCTATGCATTGTGTTTAATAGCTAAAATTCACGTTTTCTAGAACAGAGCTAAGCAGGTAACCTAGTCCTCAGGGTCAGAAGGGGAGCCCTGCACAGGAGGGGAACTAAGGTGCATGTTAAGAAAAACATCTTCCACAATGCACTGGACCCTTTGCTCTGCATAACCAATTTGCCTCCTGAGCAATTTGCTTCCACTGCCCAGGCAGTGATGGACCTCATTGCTAGAGATGCTGATGTTCAAACAGCCTTTTTGCTCATGGGGCCTAAAAGCCAGTTTCGCCAGAGCTCCAAAGGCACTTTCGCCCCAACACGATGGCAAACTTGACAGCTGCCTCACTCCCTTGGGTTTTATTGAAAAAAACTTTGCTCCAGATCGCTACAGCCTGAACACCAGTGCTATATGTACAGGTTGCTCTCTTGCCCTTTGCTCCTGTGCTGAGGATGGGGTAGTGGCTGTTGAAACACTTTTCAAAAATTAATTGTCATACCAAAGGCTATGAGGATTTTTTTAATCCTCACCTCAGTCTTGGTTTTCTGTGTGCAGCAGTTAGCCTTCGATTAGCTGCCCCAGGGGGGTTATGTTACATCTTGTGTGGGTTTTTCATAGCCTCACGAGGGTGTCCAGCAGGGATATTGGTGACTTAGGATATGTTATTTCCAAATGCACGTAGGTGCCTCTCTCCTCTGGCTCTGCATCCCGGAGATGGCAGCACCCAAGGTCGCAGTGGTTGGCGCGGGAGTTGTTGGCTTGTCCACAGCACTGTGCATCGCGGAAACTTGCCCCAGCTGCTCCGTGATGGTCCTTTCAGACCAGTTCAGCCCCAATACAACGAGTGACGTCGCAGCCGGGATACTCATCCCTCACACCTACTCAGGTGCGTGTAACCTGGTGTACTGTTGCCCGTGGCACCACATGCGGCTGCGTGCCCGGGAGTGCAGCGATGCACAGAGGTTCAGGAAGAAAAGTGCCATGCTGTGCGTTCCCCATCTGTCCCGTCTCCTTGATACTGGCTTGTATGCTTCTCCTCTTTGCATTTTTGGTTTTCTTTACATGCAGGCACACCAATCCACGTGCAGAAGCAGTGGTTCAAAGAGACCTTCACTTACCTTTTTGCCATCAGCAACTCGGCTGAGGCGTCAGAGGCTGGCATTCACCTGGTCTCCGGGTAAGAACAGCCGCCCAGGGCAGACTTTGGTATGCGTGTGCCATGTGCTGGAGCAGACAGAGAAGTTTTCCTTGCTGGAGTTCAGGCATATTCCCTTCATGGAGTAGCTCTTGTGACCATATTCCCAAGAAACTACATTGCAGTTGCTCAGATACTATGTATTTTCAAGCAAAATTCGTGCATAGGTTTGTACAGAGAAACCACTCGAGACTGGCCAGCACCAAATGACCAAATGTCTTTTAACAACTGATGTTTTCCATGCTCTCATCCACCAGTTGCTTGCTGCAGGGGCAGTCTTCATAGGGATGGGACTGCAGGATCCTCCAGCTTCAGCAACTAGGTACAGGGATGCAACTGGGGTGTGTGTGCGTTGGGGGTGTTTTGTGCTGCCCATTATCTACACAGAAATGCACCTCTTGGGAGTGTTGAGGCTGGGCACTCTGTAGCTTTATGGGTATCCAAAAAAATGTGAGCAGGTGTGCAAGTGGCCCTACATGAAAGTCCAGCCAGGGTGGCCGCAGCCGTGGTGGGGACACTGTGTGAGGGGACTTTGTACTTCTGCAGCTGGAAGTTCACACAGTATAGCTGGAAAACCTCTCTCCAGTTTAGTAACCCCAGTGTGTCACCTGCAAGCTTGGCTGTGGCAGCCCCTCTGCCTGGGTATTGCAGTAGCAGGCAACAGTTTCCCTGTCACTGTTAACCTTGCAGAGCTGCACTGATGAGCGGGAAGAGGTTCCTGAGTTCCTGGATTTGTGCTAAGATTGCTGTGACACATATCATGGCAGAGCAATAACGACTAAGTTTTGCAGCTTTTTCTCTGTGTCTTTTTAGGTGGCAGGTCTTTAAAAATACTCCCAAGGAAGAGCTACCTTTCTGGTCAGATGTCGTCCTGGGATTTCGACCAATGTCTGAAGCAGAACTCCAAAAGTTTCCACAGCACCTATTTGGTCAGGCCTTTACGACACTGAAATGTGACTGTCCGCCCTACCTGCTGTGGCTGGAGAAAAGGTTGGTCTTGCTGCAGGCTGGGCACACAGAGAGAAATCCAGGCAGAAGGACTGGGGGCGAGCTAGGGACTCCTTGAGAGCCTTAGGTTTGAAAAAAACTGGAAAAGGGCTGTTTCTCATTGGGGAAAATGCAGCATGCTCTTCCTTGGGGAGGAGCGCAAGAAATAAATACCCCATTTTTCCAAAGTGTGAAAGGCCCCATTTATGCAATGTCTACTTTCTACCACTATGGCTGTACAGTGGGGCTTAGAGCGGGAGCACCTCTGGGCATAGGACCAACATAGCCACAGGGGCCATGCTTGGCCAGCCAGACCTTGAAGGTACCTTGGGAACCTGCCATGTCCTAAGAAAATGTGTGGGTGCTCCTCATTCGTCAAACTTCCCAAATATATCTCTCTGTTCTTCAACATACATCCAACTCCTGGGAGAACAGGCATGTCTGGGAAGATGTCTTATCTGTGAAGACTTTGCACTTAAGAAGTAGGTGGACCAATTAATCTCAAATTTGGTCAACAATTGGAGTCATTCCTTAATCCAGTCAGGTGAAAAAAGGTCAAATAAGCATCATCTTGTAACAAACCTTTTGGAAATGTTTACCTGCATAAGATGGGTCATGCACTCACTCTGAGGAGTCATGGCTTCAGAGTTCACGCCTGGATTGACATGAAAGTTAGAAAATTTACCAATTTCCAAATTTCTGAGTTTCCCCCAAATACATAGATTTTGGAGAACCGTAGGAGAGTCAGGATGCAGATCTAAAAAGGTTCTGACACCTGGGATGTGCATTTAATCCATTTAAGTCCCCTAAAGTGAGCAAATAGCCATCTCTTCTTGAGAGAAAGCAATAGGCTGCAAGCTGATTTGAGGTTAAGTAAAGAGACGTGTACCGACACCATGGTACAAATTGCCAGCTCAACCGTTGCTTGGATGCCTTTCATCTCACTGCAAAATGTGAAAAAACGTTTCTTGTTCTAGCAGACAGCCAGCTGGGAGTACTCCAGTGGCACCAGTGCCACGTGAGGTCTGTGCCACCTCCTCGGTGCACATGCTCTGTCATGTTTCATTGCTTAACCGAATCGGAAATTTCTGCTGAAGCACAACTAAGTTGTTCAACCCATTTAGTATCTGCCACGTGATTTCTGCTCTCTCCTTAAAAATTCTTATTTCTCAAAGGATGTAGTCTAGTAAGATGATCAAGCTCCTTTTCTTTCTCTTGTCTCTGGTGATGAGAAATGAGAGCATATTAAACATGTAACTAATTCTCAAACCCCTCATGATCTAAGCAGTATTTATAGACCATTCTCTTGGCAATCCACAAGGAAAATTGGTTTTGTGCCCACCTTGCTGGTCCAAAAATGGACTTCAGGAATTTTTTCCTGCATGCTTGCCTGAATTCAGGAGTTTTCAGCTTTTTTTTTTGGTGTATTTTTTATGCCATGATGGCAGAGTCCCAATTACAACTCTTATGAGCTCTCCCAGCAAGTTGCCCAGCCAGAGCTGCTGCATGAGACCTCCCCAGTTCTGCCCAGCCAGCCTCAGCGTCCTGCTGCACCCAAACCCCAGCCTCCAGAGCATCAGCTCTGCCCTGGATCCTCGGCTCACTCACTGCTTTGTGGGAAACCACTGCCTTTGTAGTGGGGTTGATCACTTTGCCAGCTGCCAGAGTACTGCAGAGGACAGGACTTCCGCTTAGTGCACCATCATTGCGGATATGTCTCCTGACTTGCCCATGCTAAAACCCCCAGTGATTTGTTCATGCTAAAACTAACCCAGTGACTGGATCCAGCTGACAGCATGCGGTGACTCCATTTCACGCCAATGTTTCTTCACAGGGAAGGGTATCAAGCTTCAGGCAAGTTCAGGGTGGAATTTGGCTTGAAATTGAGCTCAAAGATGAACCTCAAGAAGGGGTGAATTTTGCTGAAGAGCAGACATGGATGTATAGTGCCCTGAGCTGTCCTGGGTGACTCCTGGCTGCTGCTCTAGAAGGGTGTGGGTCTCCTGGGGTCCCATGCCACACCTGCCCAGCCTGCAGGGATGTCCTGGGTACCCCAGGGCTTTGCACGTGGCACTAGATGACTAAGTGGCTCCTGGTATCAGGGGTGAGTTGGGAATGAATATGACGGTGTGTAATAGGCACGTTAAAAAGGGTGTGGAACGATAGCAATGTCACTAGGAGAAGTACATTGGTGAATAAATCTCACATTTTTCAGCTTGCTTGAGCTGTTAAAGCTTGGCATGGTTATAGAAATGAATCAATGAGACCATGAGGACCTTTCTGTCTGTCTAGGATCTTACGCCAGGGCCTTCTCTAATATTGATCAACTTGCTGTATCTTTTCCAGTGCAAACAAGCTAAAAAATAGCTTTGATGAGACCAAATCAGACAAATCACAAACAGAAACCCCATGGCATTTTCTTTGCTTTTTGTCCCATCTGTTGTTTGGTTTTGATCGGTATGTTAAAGGCAATCTATCTCATTTACTTAATGTGCATAATAATTACACGAGGATTTAGGGTCTTCTTTTCTGCCTCACTTCTGGAGTCTTTTTGCAGGTTGAAAGCAACTGGCGTCCAGATGTACACCAGAAAAGTTGCAGACTTGTGGGAGCTGCACAGTGAATATAACATCGTCGTCAACTGCGCGGGCATTGGAGCCCACCAGCTGGTGGGGGACGAGAAGGTCTTCCCTGTCAGGGGACAAGTACTCAAGGTTCATGCTCCTTGGGTGAAAAACTTCATTCGGGACGGGGATGGCTTAACTTACATCTACCCAGGGATACACAGGGTAACCCTAGGGGGAACCAGGGAAAAGGAGAGCTGGAGTCTCTCCCCTGATCCTGGCACTACCAAAGACATCTTTGACAGATGCTGCTCCCTTGAGCCCTCACTGCGTGGAGCTCAGGGTATCGAGGTGAAGGTGGGCCTGAGGCCATCCAGGTGGTGCGTGAGACTGCAGACAGAGGTCTTGAGCCAAGGAGGAGTAAAGCTCCCAGTGGTCCACAACTATGGGCATGGGGCAGGTGGCTTTTCAGTGCACAGGGGCACAGCCAAAGAGGCTGCTCGCCTGGTGAGAGAGTGCATTGCTGCCCTGCAAGGCTCCACGTTGAGGGCCAAGCTTTGAATCCCAGAGGCTCCTTTTCCATTTACGACAGGCTAGTGTGGCATCTCCTAGTAGCAGCTTGTCCTGGTTTCGGCTGGGATAGGGTTAAATTTCTTCCTAGTGCTGTATTTTGGATTTAGTATGAGGAGAATGTTGATAACTCACTGATATTTTCAGTTGTTGCTAAGTGCCCTCCTAGTCCAAGGACAGCTCCCATGCCTACTGACTGAGCTAGGTACACAAGGTGGGAGGGAACATAATCAGGACAGCCAGCCCAGCTGGCTAATGGGGTATTCCTTACCATGTGACATCATGCTCAGTATATGAATGGTAGGTGTGATCCAGGAAGTACCGATCACTACCTGGTTATCGGTCAGCGCGGGTGGTGAGCAATTGCATTGTGCATCACTTATTTTGTATATTTTATCATTGTCATTATCATTTTCCCTTTTCTGTTCTATTAAACTGTCTTTATCTCAACCCACGACTTTTTCTCACTCTCACCCTTCCGACTCTCTCCCCGTCCCACTTGGGGCGGGGGGAGTGAGTGAGCGGCTGCGTGGGATTTGGCTGCCTGCCAGGTTAAACCACGACACAGCTTTGGACTTTTATTCCATTACTGGATAGGAGGAACCTAAGACAACAGCTTGTGCCATTGCAGATGCTCGGTGGTACCTCAGCTGGCTTCCAGCTGCCACCTTGGAAAGGCACGATGGATTGATCCAAGTATTAGTCCAGCTGTCCTTTTCTTCCATCTGTCATTGTTTCTGCCCTGGGCATTTCTCCTAGCCTTATGTTAAGGAGAAGGCAAGATATGTAAATATTCTTCACATAACAGGAATTAGATTGCTGCAGTATAATATCAATAACATCAATTTAGCGTTTCTTGATCTGCATCTAAAGGGTGTCAAATGCACTATTTTCAGATTCAGTAAAAACTAGTTCTCACCTCTTGAACCAAATCTAATCTAGTATTGCCCTTGCTCCTGCCATCTTGCTAACAAACTTAACCATTTTCCACGTGATTTACAAGGAAAAGAAAACCCCACGCAGTGCTGCATTACAGTGCTCCAGGTCAGCTCTTACAGAAAGCAATGTCAAGTCACTGTCATGCACAGTGACCAGGCAAGCATGATTTTAAGAGCAGGTCTGTGACACTGATCACTGCATTTGCTCATATTACCCCTCAGGGAACTTAATGTAGAGTTTTTGTGAGAGGAGGTTGCCCCGTATGAGCTACGGTTTTGTGCATCTTTTCTCACACTTGTTGGCAAATCTCTTTTTTTTTCTCTGAGCCCGTCAGATTTTGATCTCAGACATAGATGATTTTCTTCCCCACAGTAGCAGCATTGACATGGCCTGTGTCCTACAGGAGAGGATTTTTCAGGGTGGGCTTGGGAGTACAAGCATCTCTTTTCTACTTTGCATCAGCACTGGCTGCTTTCCTTGCAACAGATGATATGAATAAGTTGGTGACAAACCAACAAGGATCTTAACGCCAGCTTCAGTTTCGTAAGGGAGAGAAGAGCCATTTAAGACTAGATAAACACTCTAAAGGCAAATTTGTCTGTAACTGGACGTGAGTGAGCTCCTCTGCTGTAAGGAAGCTCAGCCACCGACATCCAGACCCTCACTCCATGGCAGAGGCAGAGCTGGGCTTTAGACTCCCCTCAGCAATTCAAGCCTTTTGATGTGGCTGAAGATAGTCACCCCCCAAAACTGGAGCTTACCGTCAAATTACAGGTCTGACTGTTAGTGATTAAACCACTCATTAGACCTTAAATGGCTCATTCAAGAGCATTAGCATCCACTTTTGACTAGGTTTTTTTGTCCTTACAAAACAAATCAAAATCCTTCAAGAATTCACACTATTAAAATGAACTGATAAATAAAGTTCTAATAACAGAGCAAAGGTCCCTTCTGTAGTGTTTCCTTTCATAAACGAGGGGGTTTCTTTCATTTGGGATGACACGGCCAAGAAAGGCCACATTCAGACATGGCTGCCAACTCTTGCTGTTCTCAGGGAGGATGAGGACAGTTATCCTTCATAAGGGACAGCTGTCGAAAGAAACGTCATGAAATTAAATTATAGGTCAATTAGCGCCTGGGATCAGCCTAAGCTAGCCCTGCCTTCAGCAGTCTTGCCCTCTTCTCCTCAGCTCTGGAGGCCAATTTTGCACTACCCCCCATCATTTGTCCTTTCCAGTGGTACGAGGGCAGAGCTGCTGCTTTTGGCAGCAGTGCTGGTGTAGGGCTTGTCAAACCGCAGCTTTGTCCTCAGCTAACATGGAACAGAAAAAATACATGGAAAAATCATAAGAATGGGCTATTTTTTTTAAATCTTGATTTTAATCTTAAAAAGTAACAAACAGTGTATCTTATCCTGGAGCAAGAAACACTACTAATGCTAATGGGGTGTTCATAGCCCCGTGAGAAACCAGAGCTCTGGTTGTGCACTTCTGCTCTGCAGGGTGGGGGGGTTCTTCTAATTCACTTCTAAAAGTTGTCTTGTTGATAAAAATGGCAAAATGGGTTCAGCTGCAAGGCCTGTCATTCTGGCATCCTAGCTCTGGCCATGGCCAGCAGTGGAGAGGGCCACTTCTAGCATACCCTGGCCCATTCAGCTGAGGGGTAGCTTAGTGTTTCATGGCCCTCAGATCATTTATCTCCCACACATTTGTTGGATTGCTTCTGAAACCACGTACGATGCTTTTGTAGTTCCCAACATCTCATGACAACAGGTTCCATAATGGGAGACACTTCTTTGCCCAGGCACACAGCTCCTTGCCTTCATGTTTGTCTTGAATCTGGAAACATAATTTGATGCCCCCTTCTTGCATCTTATGAGAAGTGGTGACTAGTTATTCTCCATGACCCTTCTTGAATTTATACCATCCTCCCTCTCAGACTCTTCTTTCCCACCTTGAAGAATTTTGGTTTATGTAGCTGCTACCCATCCCTTTGGTCTTCCTTGTTGCCCATCTTTATGTCTTTTCTCACTCTACCATACCCTTTTTGAGATGGGGGACCAGAACTGCACACAGTACTCATGGTAGGGATGAATCCTCTATTTAATTGATGACATCTCTCTTCCCTTCCTAATAATTTCTAATATTCAATAGGTTTAGAGTCACTAAATAGCTTTTAACTGTCATTTGAATAGAACTATCTAACTCCACGATACTTGTCCTGAACAGTATTAGGTGGTCAAGAGGCTATTGCTGAGACTGGGTAGTGAGGGGTCTTCTTCCAGGGTGGTGAAACATCGGACGAGGTTGCGCAGAGAGGTGGTAGATGCCCCATCCCTGGAAACTTTCAAGGTCAGGTTAGATGGGGCTCTGAGCAACCTGATCTAGCTGAAGATGTCTCTGCTCATTGCAGGGGGGTTGGACTAGATGACCTTTAAAGGTCCCTTCCAACCCAGACTATTCTATGATTCTATGATTCCCAACTCAGCCATGTGTTTTTCCCTGCTGTTATCCACACTGGATTTCACCTGCCATTTCATTGCCCAGCCTCATGAGATGTTTTTTGGAACTCCTTGCAGGCAGTTTGCATTTTACTACCTTAAATAAGATGGCACCACCAGCAGTCCAAGCCACTTCACCATTTACCACCTGACTGGTGGGTATGTGGATTAGCACTGGCCCTACCATGGATTAGTCTCAGATGTCATTGGTGACTTCTCTCCACTGTGAAAAACAGGTGATTCATCCTTACTTCGTCTCTCTATCCTATATGCAGTTGCTGACTCATGAGAGGATCTTCCCTCTTATCCCATGCCAGATTAGGTTCTTTGTAAGTCCATGGTGACAGACATTATTAAAGGCTTTCCAGAAGCTGAGCAGATCACACCGAGCGGATCGCTCTATTCTGCAGCCTCACTGTTTCCCCTGAAGCCATAAAAGGATGGTGAAGCACAGCTTCATAGCTCCTCACTGCAAAGTTCTGCTGATTCTTCCCTCTTAGTCCATATCTGTCCTTGTAACTATTCTATTATCATGGCTTTCACTGTTTGCCTGCTACAGGTGTCACATGTAGTGGTTTCCATTTCTCTAGATCCCTCACAGCACTTAAAACAGTGTCACGTGCCATCCTCTTTTTTCTTTGGCTGTTTTAAGTAAAGGGTTATACACCAGCCCTAACACTGCAACAATTTCCCATTAGCATTCCTTAAAAACCCACGAGCGAGTAACATCTGCTTCTCATGAATTTGCTACTACTCATTGCATGTATTTGTTCTAAACCCTCATCTAATGGCCCTTCAATCTGAGGCAGCTTCTCTGCATTATCCCCTTAACAAATGGCTCTGCTGTGGGAATTTCACTAAGCTTTTCTGTGCTGAACACAGACACAAGTAATCTGTTCGGCTGTTGCGCTAGGGCTTGTTTTCTCTCAAACTCCTTTGCTCCCCTGATCGTCTGCTGACTGCATACCGTGGTCACCTGCAGACCCTCCGGCAGGCTCTTGCTCCTGCTGGGGTAGAGGAAGCTTTTTGTCTATTAGCAAGTTATTTCCTCAAAATCTTTTTTAGTCTGCCTTTCTGTTTCTGCTTTTAATTTGACAGAGTTCACGTCCTTTTCCATTTCCTCATTTGGATGGGATCTATTTTGGTTCTTTCCCATGTAATTTTTATCATGCTATTACAATGAGCCAGTAATGATCTTTCTTCTGGAAAGTCTCTGATATTTCAATACCCTTATATAAAAATCAAGCATTTTAGTCCCATATCTTATTTTTAGACTTATAGCAAATAGAAACAAGCACACATTCAGCCTGATTTCTCCAGCTCCTGTGCCCTGTTGAAAGGGGCTTTATTTGTCCGGATTGCGCCTTTCCATTTTCGCCATTTTCTGCTTACTTGTGGTTATAAAGACGTCGAAATGGCACCTTTAAGGACATGCCATCATGAACCCCTGCTCCTCTCTGCCTGCTTGCTTCCCCCAAGTCTGAGCTTGAAATTCCTTTTTAAATCTTACTCTTTCTTGCAGAGGCTTTCTTCGCCGCTAAGGTCATGCCAC